ACTAGGTTATGTGATTTTTTTTTAAGGTCACCCTTCCTCATGAGGACTGTTGTTGGCTGAAATGGTATTGTGTAGTATGAGATCATATCCAGAGTGAACCAGCTACCTTAACTGCTGCTGCTCTGATATAAAGCTATAATGACTAGAGATCAATTAACCTTGCATAATTAAAATTTGATAAAACATCACCTCCAAGAAATCATGCACTTGTATTAGACTGGAAACTAATACCGCCTCTTACGCCAAACCTCTCACAGGATGCATCTCTCACACAATCACACCACATCTTTACCTGGGCCCCCTTAACATCCCAGAGAATGCCCTGTCTCCATGGACCTTCTGCCTGTGCCCTTGTTCTGCCCTGTCTCCTTCTCAGGATGATACACTCTTTCCAAAGGTTCCAACATTCTTCTGAGCCTTCACACAATCCTGATCCACCATCCCCCGGTGACCCATAACACCTACTTTGTACATTGAAATACCTACTTCTAGAAACTTTTGCCACATGACAGCAGATTTTATTCTTCTATTTTATTGTCTTTTTAGTCTGCATGTTTGTTAAAATGTTTCTTTCCAACACATTGGAGCCATTTCCCAACCAGATCAGAGCTTGACCCTGGACTAGAAGATCTTGCTGGGCAGTATAAGGTTCTGACCTCCAGCAGGAGGAAAGCTGCAGAGGGGAACCCAAGCCCATGAACTCATTCTACCTTCTGATACCCAGAAAGACAGTCCAGCAAGCTGATGGAAACTCGGGTTTTATACAAGTTCAACCACTGACATATCCTGTTAACTAGAGCATACCACCTGCTTCTAAATATTTCCTGGTAATGGAGAAGAATGAAAGCCTTCAATGACACCACAGAATTTTCATTTAAAAAAAAAAACCTGAGAATGTCTTCCAAGCCTTTTGGAAATGCTCCGTGACCCCCTTTGAGAGCATTCTTCTCTATCAAGCAACATTCTGCCACAGACACCATCAGGAAAGTGATACAGAGAACACACCGTTTGGATGCAGACGTTTGAATTGGTGCTTAAGATACTAGTTCAGATTCCTGCATCCCTACCAGAGCTGCTGGGTTTCTGCTTAAGCTCCTAGGACAGCATCTTGCTCATGCATAGGCATCAGGGGACAATTCAAATCTTGTCTCCACAATGGAAAACCTTAACTGAGTTCTTCTCTATTGATTTTGGCCTCAGCCCAGTGTGCAACACTGCAGGCATTTACGAGTGGTCAGTGCACAGGGAGTGAGTGTCTCCACTCTGACTTCACAATCAAATAAACAAAACCCTTTAAAAAATACTATATGCCATCTGAATCTTTTTATATTTCTGACCTCTGGGTCCTCGGCAAAGCTTAAATAAACATGTTCCTAAGACTCTCATCCTCAAAAATGCATGCTTCCTTTATACTGAGAGGGAAAGAATAGAAAGATAAGGAGAGGTAATATCTAGTTTAGATATCTGGCATTGAATCTCAGAGAGCTAAAATATAGTCTTAAATCTAGGATGAATTGAAGAGCTTTTCAGTATTTCACAGAAAAGGAGTTCCAAAGAGATCAAGTAACTTCTTCAATTTAATTCCAGCTTATCACCTTCAAAGTCCACTCCAGTCAAAAGTGGAGCTGCCTTTGGCAGTTGGTGCTCAAGTAAAGTCTGACTAACAGTTTAGTTAGGTTGGGACAAGCACTGGAACATGCAAGGATGGGGCACACACGTCCCTTAAAGTTCTGGATTCATGTGAAAAGCAAAAAGTGTATCTGGCTCACTTTTTGTCCGTTGTAAATCAGTCCTATTACTCCCCTTCCTGCATGTGTGCTCCCTTGCCAGGAGGCTGTGTATCTCTTCCCACCAGGGCACAGAGTCTTCCCATAGCCTTGAATCTGAAAGGTCTTACACTTTTTTTGTCCGACACATGTGCTGAATGATTCTGGGCCTTCACTTTCACAGATGTTGTCCTTGTATGGCCTCGAACAATTGCCTTGATACAAAAATGGACTGGACTTTTGCTGTCATCATACCAGCCGGTAGTCACATGGCCACAAGATGTCTAGGAGGCCAGCCTGTCCCCTACTGACCTGCGGCTGACCTGCATTTGCTTTCCTATTGGAAGCAACCCATAGCTCACACTTGGCTCTCTAATCATTACACTTCACTACCCCATCAGAAGTTTATTTGACCTAGATAGCAATCAAAAATACCGTAATATAAGACTAGTACAACAGAGTCATCGTCCACCCTGTGGCACCAAATCTCATTTGAGTGCTGTTTCAGGCTCCAGTCCTAATCCACATCTGATTAAGCTCTACATATGGCCTAGAAAAGAAACAAGGAATGACCCAAGTCCTCCGTGGGCCCTTGTACCCATGTGGGAGACCCAGAAGTTGCTCTTGGCTCCTGTGTTAAAATCAGCTCAGTTCTGGCCATTATAACCATTCAGGGAGTAGACCAGCAAATGGAAGAGCTCTCCCTATCTCTCCTTTTCTCTCTGTAAAATCTGCCTTTCAAATGAAAATAAATAAATCCTAAAAAAGCAAGAAAGACTAAGTTTTTTCTATAGGTGAAAAAAAAAGCATGGTGGTAGGGGCAGGGGAGCGAGACAGTTTTTAGGGGGAAATTAATCTTCCTCAAAGAGAAATGTAACAGATTTAATAAAGAGAGTCTGGCCCAAAATTAACAGTTTGGGGAAATGGAACTCTTTGGTACATTGCCCACTACCATATATACAAAGCCAGAGCTATTCTCGCTTTCCCACCTCAGATCTCCATGCACACCTTGGTGAAATAGTGGATGTACTCACTGAATGAGCACAATCCAGTTGAGAAAGAGAGGAAACACAGACATTGTCATGGTGGTCTGTCTGGAAAAGTTATTTCTTTTTCTGTTCACGATACAGTTAGAATATGGGCCAACTAGAAGTCCTCAGGCACTAACACATGCATCTGAATCTCTAAAGCAGACACAAAATGAACACTTCTTTTAATCCAGAGTTGGGAAGGAAGTGGGCAGAAGTTGAGAGAACACTGGGTTGGTAAGTCACCTGCACTCCATGTGTGAGCTCCTCCAGGGGAACTCTGGCACAATAGAACAAGAAGAAATGGGCCAGGACTCTTCAGGATCAAGGCCCAGAACCAGTACAATGTTACTGCTGACTCATTTTGAAACAAAGAAAAGAAATTGACCAGTATCCAAAGCAAGCTGAAAAACCAGAGATTTGAAGCAGAGAGGGAGCAGAGTTGACAAACAGAAGCCATTTCTTCAGGGAGAGCAACTGCTAAGGCCATGCCCAGGGAGCAGTGGGGAATTTATGTGATCATCACAATCTAGCCCAGGTGGTGTCTCAGCCAACTGAAAATGAATAAGAACTACAACTGCACTTTAAACAGCCCATAATTTCAGGGAGAACTAGGTGACACCAGGACAGCCAGAGACCTTCTTTCCACGCACACCCTCATCTAATCAAACCAAGAATGAGCATCAAGATTAATTCATACCAGTCATGGACTCCAATAATAAATATTATTGGGATAGACAGCAGCCAACAGACAGGGAACACTCACCTTTCATTCACAAAAACCAGAAGATGCTTCACTCGGGAACCAAGCCTTTTATTCTACTCTAAGTCATGGGAAGCCCATGTGTCCCACTCTTCTTAATCTGCAAGGTTTGAGGAATTGAATGACAAAAATATATGTTTTCTGCAGGGACTCACCATTCTCTAAACAGAACAATGAAATGATCTTTGCAGACCAAATATTATATGGATTGGGTTCAAATTTACATTGTCCCTATTAACCAGCAATGCATTTGCCACAATGAAAAAATTAGATAAGGTTTAATTTCTCTGTATATCAGAATCATGGAAGTAATTGACCCCTGATATATTCATCAGGGGAAATGGACACTTTCTCAAGAAGACTCATCCAGAAAGCTCCCCATCATATTTTTCCTCCACCTCTGACTTGGAAGTCAAATTTGGAAGATGATGAACAGCACTTTCTCCATCTGTTTGAAAGTATTCTCTTTAGACTTTGGGCCCTTTCCTGATTTGTAGTGCTAACTCACTCTCCTTTTTTTTTTTTAAATGAAATTATTCAAGTTATAAGTACCTCACAGCCTATTGTGAGAATTCAATTAGACAGCAGATGTGAAAGTATTTTGGAAAGTTCAAAATGTTATGGAAATGTAAAGTCATTTGACATGCTATTAGATCATAACAATCTAAATATACTAATAAGCATTGCTTTCTCATTACCCAGACAGATCCGTAGGATAGAAATAACACTGGGTCAGCTTAGTACTCTCCTGTTACAGTTCCAGCCCCGTCACTGCTTGATGGCTGTGACCCTAGCAAACCCCTCCCCATTCCTGACTTGGGGTTCTCATTAATAATGTGAAAAGTGGACCTTGGACATTTTGAGTTCTAAATCAACTGTTTTGCGGATTCTTTTATTCCAATGAAGCTTTAAATTATGTAAGGATGGAATATACAAACACAGACACTATGTAGATGATAGCATAGATATAACCATAATAAATATTTAGACAGAAATGGATAAATAATTGTTAATATCTAAGATAAAACCAAAGCAACCTTCTTTTGTTTTACTTATTTTATTTTAAAATCAGAGGAAACTAGAGATCTCCAATCAACTGGTTCCTTCCTCAAAATGTCTGCATGGCCCAGGATCTGGGAAATCAATTCAGGTCTCCCACAAGAGTGTCAAGGAACCATTACTTGAGCCATCAGTGCTGCCTGCCCGGGTGTACCTTAGCAAGAGTCAGGATGTGAACACAGACATTGCAATATGCAGAACATCTCAGGCAGATTTGTAATGGTAGGACCAATTACCCATCCCACAGATTTACTCCTACCTTGGAATTAACAGAGAAGAGGAAACACAAAGAGAAAAATCTTCCATCCAATGATTCACTCCTCAAAGTAGCCACAATGGCCGGAGTTGCGCCCATCCAAAGCCAGGAGCCAGGAGTCTCTTCTGGGTCTCCCGCACAGGTGCAGGGTCCCAAGGCTTTGAGCCATCCTAGACTGCTTTCCCAGGCCACAAGCAGGGAAGTGGATGGATTCAGGGCTGCTGGGATTCAAACCAATGCCCATGTGGGATCCCAGCGCTTATAAGGCAAGGACTTTAGTCACTAGGCTACCACTCCAGGCCCAAGACTTATTTATTTGAAAAACAGAGTACCATCTGCCTGGATCAGAAGTGGAGTGGCAAATTCCCCGTTGAACACACACTTTGATACAGAATCCCAGGATTACAGCCAGTAAATTAACTCTCTGCTTCCTAACACTGGCCCCAGTGATGCACAACTCTACAGTCATATATTAACTCAAGTTCTTGGGCCATAAATTAATCTAGATGGAATTTTGGGGTCTCTGGCCCGGTATAGGGGCACAGCAACTTACACTTCCATCTGCAATGCTATATCCCGTGTGGGTGCCAGTTCATGCCCTGGCTGCTCCAGGACTGACCCAGCTACCTACTAATATGCCTGGGAAAGCAGTGGAGTATGAACCATATATCTGGACCCTTGCCGCCCATGTGGGACATCCAGACAGAGTTCTAAGCTCCTGATTTTGACCTGGCCCAGCCGAGAGACCAAGGGGAGAGCAGGGGAACCTGGTAGGGGAACTGCAGGGAGCTCACCTGCTGGGCCGCTGTTCCCACTGGTGTGCTTGAGAGCTGTGATGGGGAGGGCTACAACACCTGTTGACCTGCATGTAAGCTGGCCTGGGGACAAGCCAGGCTAGGTAAATAATACTCTGGCATAAGCCAGAGTGGATGTGGGTTGAATGGCATTTGCTACAGCATCAGCTGGCAAATGCTGGTGGGGTGCAACGGGGAACTGTTGAGTTTGACTGCAGTACCACCTGGAGAGTGCAAGATCCAGGAGTGGGAGTGAGCCCATTAGCAAAATAATAGCACTTCCCTCTTGGATTGCGACTCTGACTGGTGAGAATGAGAACCAGGACTGGGACAGGCATGGCTAGAGTGTGGCACCTGCTAGCACATGTGTGGGCCGGATAGTGAGACTGGTTGGGTTGAAATAAGTTTAAATGCCCATTGACATATATGACAGTTAAATGGGATGTGGGACAGACTGGAGGAGTCTACTGTACCTACTGGCAAGCACGGGAACCAGGACTGGAGGTGGGTCTGGTGGGGTTATTGCAGGTCACTCCTACTAGGCTACAACTCCCATTGGTTTGCATGGGGGCCAAGTGTGCAGTAGACAGAACCAGACTGAATTCCAAAACACATTAGTTTGTGTAGAAGATAGGGCTGGAGACAACTGACTCAATAATTGCAGTGAGCAGTGTGCATGAAGGCCAATTTGGGCAACAGACGGTGCCAAATCCTGTATTGGCAGTCACACAAGAATCAGGTCATGGATCACTTCAAATGAAGTTTTTTTTTAATCTCCCCTAATGGAATCACTGGATTCTGAACCCCAACCATGGAGAGAATTGTAGGTGCCATGGTCTGACTGAGTGCATGTGACAGCTGGGCCTCCTCAGTGACTTAGATGGAGTAATGGACAACATATCCAGGTGCACATGGAGGATAGGGCAATACACTGGAATCTGAAGAGGATACCTGATACTATAACAGAGGACAGAACAAATCAATCGACTACCCCAGCCAAGTGTTGGCAGTGAATACCTGGGCAAACAGACTCCAAGGTGGACTGTCAGTCAGTGGAGTCTGGAGATAGTTCATCATGATTGGAGTGGCAAAATTGGCAACAACTGTTGAACTATCAAAACCACTTGAGCAAAACCTTCAGAGCATGACCCACATTGGGGACCCTGAGATGGTTGGGAGGCTGGATGGGGCTTCTCTCCTTATCTCTCCTTTCCCCCTAGATACAGGAAGAAAAGAAAAGAATGTGAAAAAAATGGTCTCACCCACTTTCCTAGAGGAAAAAAAAAAAAGGGCCCTTGACCCTTCACATCCTAATCAAATACGTAAAAATTATCAAAAAAATGAAATTTATACAAAAAGTCAGGTAAAATCAAATCAAATCTCAGCCTTTATATCATTAAATGTCTCTTCGGGTTTCTGAAATTCTCTATTATCCATTCTAACTTGAAGAGATTGCCACACATCTAGCAATCTGATGAAGATTGAAGTGGGATAATGTATGACATGCCAGCACAAAGAAAGGTCTTACTAATTTAAAATTCTCTTCTTATTGGAAAGGCAGATTTACTCAGAGAAGAAGAGACAGAGGAAAAGATCTTTCATCTGTGGCTTCACTCCCCAAGTGACCACAACAGCAGGAACTGATCCGATCCAAAGCCAGGAGCCAGGAGCTTCTTCCACATCTCCCATGTGAATGCTGGATCCCAAGCATTTGGGCCATCCTCCACTGCTTCCCCAGGTCACAAGCAGGGAGCTGGATGGGAAGTGGACTGCTAAAACACAAACCAGAGTCCATATGAGATCCTGGTACTTGCAAGAGAAAGATTGGCCAAGTGAGCCACAATGGCAAGCCCAACAATTAAAAATTCTTGCAAAGATTATTATTACAAGATGAAGTTTCATATTCAAAATCCCCCTTTAAGAATTTTCCATCTTCATGATGTATTCAGTGATTCAGTACATAAACCAAACATGCCACCTTTGTATTTCTGTTTGTATAGTCTACCATAAAGTTTCTTCCTTCAAATTTCTTTCTCCTAAAACAGATATTACTTATCCCTCAAAATATTGTATTTGCCACTGACATCCTCAAAGAAACCTCCCTGACCACCTTCAATGAGCCCTCCCATTGAATTACTGAATCATCTTGAACTCATTTCATATTCCACCTGCCCCTTAAGTTTAAACACATTACTGTTTGTTACACACTTTAAAATTCATACTCAGTGCATCCCACTATTTAAGTTCTAATCAGAAATATAGCCATGATTGTAGGGAATGCCAGTTATGCCGTAACTCCAGGGCTGTACTGAGAGTATGCACTTGATAAATATTTGTTGAATTGATAAATAAATAAAGGGCTGCATTAATAAAACAGAGAAGCAAGCGTTGGCACAAGAATTAATGAAAGTAGAGTCATCGTTTGGTGAGAGCTGAATGCTAAGAAAAAACAGCGACATGATTAAAGTGGATAGCGAGAAATTCTGATCCATCAAGGCTGCCTGTAATGAATTCTGGCCAAAGAGTTGAGAAGCAAAGAGATTAGCCAGGAGTTCTGGCTAAGAATTACAGGAAGGGAAATCAGTCTGGAATAACAGAAACATTGAAATGGGAAAATTCGGCAAGCATTTCACGCGAAGAAACAGGTGATTGAATAAGTACACCTTGAGATGTAAGCAAAACCGCAAGCATAACAATGTTTTGTGACAGGAAAAATCTAAGACTGTGAAAGAAATGGGGAAACTTGAAAATACATCTGTGGAGAATGAGAACATGTTTGGATATGCTGAAGGTATTGTTGCGCATGCAAATTTGGATGTTCAATGAATCAGCATTGCAGCCAAAATAAGAAAACTCCTTCTAAACTCCCAGGAGCTGCAATACTGTTGCCTTCTTAATTCTGATTCCCAGAGTTGCATAAAGTTTTAACTTGTTCAAGAGATGAGTCTCCTGATGGTATTTATTCAGTTCCTCAGTCCAGGTGTTTTTCTGCTTTTGTAAACAGCCAACAAAATCCTAAGAACAGAGGAAGTAAACGTGTCATTGCTAGCAGTACTACACTTGGGTTCTGATTCCGGCCCCATTTTATCGAAGTTATAAATGTCGTGGATGGTATGGATTGGCATAGGAAGAAATTTACCTAAACTTCTAACTAAAGATTAGTAGCAAGGATTACAGTTTCCTTCTCATATTAAATAACCAAGCCCCTCCCCACAATCCTGCACAGATTTCCAGTGCCAGCTTCAAATAGAAATGGTGCAGATGGGGCCTGGTGCGGTGGCACAGTGGTTAAGGCCTTGCACGCCCGGGATCCCATGTGGACGCCGGTTCTATCCCGGCAGCCCCGCTTCCCTTCCAGCTCCCTGCCTGTGGCCTGGGAAGGCAGTCGAGGACGGCCCAAAGCTTTGGGACCCTGCACCCACGTGGGAGACCCAGAAGAGGCTCCTGGCTTCGGATTGGCATAGTATCGGCCGTTGCGTTCACTCGGGGAGTGAATCATCGGACGGAAAATCTTCCTCTCTGTCTCTCCTCTCTGTATATCCGCCTTTCCAACTCAAAAGTGATAAAAATAAATCTTAAAAAAAAAAAAGAAAGAAATGGTGCAGATCTCTGATAGATGTAAAACCAATCACATGAATGTAGCTAAGGCCCCAGCTGATTATCTCAGGAATGATTTTAGGTCACAATGAGGGGAGGAGGAACACAGGTGATGCCGGCCACAACCGCAGAGGCAAGAAGCCAGAACTAAGCCATCAATGTCGGTAGAAGAGGAGAGAGAGCTACCTTGAGAGAATGCCAGAGATCTGCAGAGGGCAGTGATGAAGCTACCTAGGAAAGAAACACAAAAGCAAGACAAAAACAAAAAGACACCCAAAGGATTTGAGGAAACAGTGCTTGGGCTCAAAAGAAAATCCAGGCTACAGCCATCCTCACCTATTAGACTGAAAACAATTGTGATGCCCTGGACACTGAATACAACAGGATAGCCTCTGTTCTGTGGGAGGATGTGTTTCCAGGTCCTCGTCTATTCAGTTAATTCCTGCAAGTGACTCTCCAATGGATATTTTCAATATAGGCTTTTCTAACTGTCCTATTAGCATCACTTCTCCTGAACTATGTCCTACATATAATCATTCCATTTTATTGCCTCACAGTTCCATTGTGTCAATTGCTGACCTAATCATGAAGTTGGTTTTTGGTTTGGTTTTGTTTTTAATTTTTTTTACCACTTACATATGAAATCCATCATTAAATCTTCATCAGATGCCCGAGTCTCCCCACTGATTTTGACTTCCTCTGATGTTACTCTGGTTGAAACGACCACACCTACCGCCATCACCACCTACAT